TCTGATCACTTACGTGTTATCTCCTTTATCCTCATGAGTATTTTTATTGAACAGATTTCTCTGGGGTGACAAGATAAGAAATGCTTCACTGCTCTAGGTCCTTGTAGCCTACAAAGTGCTACTGTATATAACCAAATGTCAAGTAATTTTATAATCAAAACTAACGAGACTGGCATGTCAAGTTCTCTTGTTTTCTTTCCTTTCTGCATCTCCAGAGTTTTGATCGTTTTCCATCTTAATCAGATTTCATTTTGCTTTATGCATCACATGACAGAAGCTGTCAGATCAAAAGGTCTGTGGGCCAAAAGATTTCTACCATTTCCTCAATTTCTAATTTTTCTTCCTATTGCCCTTTAATGAGAAGTATCCTTTCAGATCTGTCACTAGATGGGACCTTAAGGGAGTACCTGGTCCCATTCCTTAATTTTATGGATGAGAAAACTGAGACCCAGAGAGGAGAGCAATTTGACCAAGTTCAAACAGGTACCAACAGAGTTAAGATTCTAATCCAGGTTTACTGACTCCAAATTCAGTGTTCTTTCCACTACTCTACATTGTTTTCTGTCAATAAGCTTGAATTCATGAGTCCTTTTAAACTTAAAATTCTTTTTTTATGTATATATACGTGTGTATATATTATATAATCTAAATTATAATTATATTACATATGTTATATAACATATAATAGAATATAGCATATATATTATATGAATTATAGTATATAATGTAATTATTTTTATATTACATAAATATGTAAATATTACATATAATATAAATTATGTATCATATAATATATTGTCATATTAAATAATATATATTATACATGTGGCATACATAATTTTATATTATCTAAATATATCTATATCTATATATGTATCTATATCTATGTCTATCTATATGTATCTTCTTTCTAAAATACTCAGTTTTGTGACCTTCCCAGAATTCTTACTTGGGCAACTAGATAGCATAGTAGATATAGTGTGCTGGCCTGGAGTCAGAAAGACCCAAGTTCAAATCAGGCCCAGATACTCACTAGCTGTATGACCTTGGACAATCTAACCTCCATCTGCTTCAGTTTCTTCAACTGTAAAATGGGGTTAATGATAGTCCCTACCTCCCAGGGTTGTTGCAAAGCTCAAAATAGAAAATATTTGTAAAGTATTTCCATTCACTCTCCCCTCCTCACTATCAACATACCTGTAGCCAATGGTATGTAGTTCTCCATGCTCTGGAAACCTCATTCTATCTCTGCTTACTCTGACTGTTCCCACGTTTGTTCCCAATGTATAGAGCTATCATGTTCATTACCATCTCTCCCAGTGTTAAACCTTTCTTCTTATGCATGGTAAGGAATTTGGAACATTTGCAGATGGGAAATATAAAACCTCAACCACTTTTTCTAGCTTTTTTCAAAGTTGCATGCAATGACCTTCAAGGTCCCTTTAGGTTGCACAGTGGGTAGAGCATTGGGCCTGGAGTCAGGAAGACTCATCTTCTTGAGTTCAAATCTGGTCTCAGACACTTTCTAGTTGTGACCATGGGCAAGTCACTTAACCCCTATTTGCCTCAGTTTCTCATCTATAAAATGAGCTGGAGAAGGAGATGGCAAACCACTCTTTCTTTCTTTCTTTCTTTCTTTCACTTAGACCCACTAGCCCTAAGTGAGCCAACTTATCAAATATACTGGCCCCAGAGTCAACACCCAACTTTCACACTTCTAAGGCTGGCAAAACCACTGACCTAGGAGGCCATGATTCATTAAAAAAATTTTATAAGCAAATTTCAATATGATTGACTTCCTTTATAATTCTATATATATTTTATTCATTAAAAATATTTGTTCTGATAAGTAATGTATAGGTTTCTATACCAGACTTCTTTCTTTCTTTCTTTCTTTCTTTCTTTCTTTCTTTCTTTCTTTC